CTTTTCCAGCGTCCGACAGCAGCTCTCCACAAATCCCCTCACCTCTGCCGCCTCCTGCTCCACGGGGTCCAGCCGATCCAGGCTCCAGCCCAAGGACACCGTCACCTTTTCCAGCGTCCGACAGCAGCTCTCCACAAATTCGCTCAGCTCCTCCTGCAGCCGCCGCCGCTCCTCCACGGGTGGAGGTTCGTTCTCCATGGCCGCCGCCGGCAGGCCAAAGAAAAGCTGCGGAAACTGCTGCGGCGCGCGCGAGCTTCTGGGAGTTGTGGGCCGGGCTACAAATCCACGAGACTAGAACCGCCTATAGGGGAGGGGCCCAGGGAAGGGCCCGAGCTGTCTTTTAAGAGGTGTTTTCCTATCTCTTCCAAATACTGCTGCCTCTGTAGCTGCTCTTGGATGCATTTGCGCCTGACCTTCCCTGAACGGCATTCCTCCCACCCCCAACTTTAAAAGAATAGTTTATATCTAAAGAAAAGTTTAAAGAATAGTACAGTGAGCATATTCACATAGCCGTCCTCCAGTTCATTAACTGTTAACATTTGGCCACGTTTGCTTTCTCCCGCTCTCTCCACCTACACAGCTCCACATTATTTTTGCCGAATTATTTGAAAGAAAATTGTAGATACTTCAGCCCAAATGTCCTTATAAATCTCCTAAGGATAAGGATATTTTCCTACATAACCACAGTACATGATCAAACCTAAGAAAATAATTTCATATCATCTAATATACGGTTCATATTCAAATTTCCCCAGTTGTCCGCAAAATTCCTTTTATAGCTATCTACTTTTTTTTCAACTCATGAGCTATAATTGGTTATTCTCTCTTTTAATGTAGAGCAGTCTCCCATACTCTCCTTTTTAAATTAAATCATTGAATCTTTTCAAGAACCTCAGCCAGTTGTCTTATAAAATGTCCTTTCTGGATTTGTCAGATTTTTTTCCTGTGATTAGATTTAAAGCATTTTTGCAAGATGTGTGTACCTCTTTATTACATCTCATAGAGGACACATGTTTTAGATTCTCCTTCTAGTAATGCAAAATTTGATCACTTGGTAAAGGTGGTGGCCATATTGCTCTATTTTAATAGTACATTTCTTCTCAGTAATTGACAATGTGTGGGATGACACCTTGAGGCCATATGAATTTTCTGTTCCCCAACAAACTCACAGTCCTTCACTGAATGTTATGTTAGGAATTATAAATGATGGTTCTTTAATACTGTCATGGCTTTTATACTTATTAGCTAGCATTCATTCTTACCACACTTTCATTTTGTCGTTCCGCTATGGAACTAAGGTGTTTTTTTTAGTATTTATTAAATTAATTCATTATTATTATTCCATTATCATAATTCTTGATGCTCAAATTGTCCCAAATTTGAGCAGAAGCCACTTTAAACCACCTCATGTCTTTTTTATTAATGTGTCCCCATTAATCGTGAGTACTTCCTTACTTAAGTTAACCAAAGCTTACATTGTACATTTCCTACCCAAGACCTGGAATCAGCCCTCTAGTTTCCCCAAATGGTTTTAACCCCCAGAATCTAATCCCTCTTACATTATTTATTTTATTCGAGCCTGATGCCAAATATTTGCTCCCCTTTGCACTTGTATCCACCAGATGAAAAAACAAACTGCAAAGTAAGTTTGTGTGAACATGACTTACAAAAAATGGTGATGAGTGTATAAAGGTAGTACCAGAATGTGGAAATAGGCCAGTAGCTGCAAGCAGATGTGAGGTAACGGATGAGCTCTGGAAGTAGTTTATTCATACTCTGACCACAGTATTTTTACTTTTTATTTGCATTTGCATTTTATTTGCATTAGCCCAGCAGCCTGGAAAATGTGCAACTATTTAAATGTGAAATGATTTTCACTGAAAAATTTTATATACCTGTATTTCCCTTTTCGGTGGATGCACTGTGTATGTGAACCAAATCAAAACTTAGTGCGGGTCAAGTATGTCCTCTCTCCAGGACACAGCCCTTTCTCGTTTCAGAGCTAAATGACAACTTTGGAAGCAGCTTGGAGGAGGTATACTGGTTCAACCCTGGGAACTGCTTTACACAATGATGCTTGTTCATCTGTTTAATCATCATTTTTCTAGAGCAGTCTCCTGCCCTTCTAGGTTAGGCCTCTGTAATGGGATGAATTGTCATCAGCCCCCCAAAAATTCATGTTTAATCCCTACCCCCCAATGTGACTGTATTTGGAGATACGATCTTTAAAGGGGGTAATAAAGGGGACTAGTATCCTTATAAGACAGTGAAGACACTACAGCTCTCTCCCTGCTCATCACTGCTCACAAGGCAGGAAGAGCTGTCGCCAGAAACCAATCATGGATGACACCTTGATCTTGAACTTCTAACCTCCAGAACTATGAGAAAATAAATTTGTTTAAGCCACCCCATCTGAGCTATCTTATGGCAGCCAGAGCTAACACAGCAGCCTAGCTCTACCATAACGAACCTCCTTCATTTTCTCCAACACAGCATTTATCACATGTTTTTCTTCCTTTTATATATTACAAGGGCTATTTTTGCACCATGTAGTCCTACCACGGGACCCACAGCTTCTGGCACAATGCTTGCTTGCCACACAGAAAAACTCAATATTGGTGACTGAAATTAATTACAAATCCTCCAGATTGGGAGGGGAACAAGAGTTAAGGAATGAATGTGGTTTTCATCCTAAGTACCAAAAGCCTCAGTAATTTAAGTATCTTAAGTATGATCTTTTTTGTTCTACACAATTAGCATTTCATTTGCTTTCTTATTTTCTACCTATACTATAAAATTTGACTGTATTAATTTATACTGATATATGCAAGTGGTCCCACTGATTGCTTTATATGTGTCTTCTATCTCCATCTAGACTGCAACGGCCTGAAGTCAAGAGGCCTCTAAATTCTATTGAATCCTCATAACACTTAGTCCAATACTAGATGCAAAACAGCTATTCAGTAGTCATGTTAATTTAATGACCAGTGCCTGAATTCCAAGTTTCTCTTTGATCCAAAGAATAGGCTTGTATCCCATCGTCCTTCAACAGGGAGTCAAGAACTCTTCAGGAACTATTTTCATAGATCCAAGGACAAATCTTATAGGGGACAAAATAAAATACCATGTATTTTGAGTATACCCAAAATAGAATCTTAGCCACCTCATGTTTTTTAAATATTATGATGATGTCTTATGCCCATGCTATTTGGTACTCACTGTTCAGAATAAACTATTGGATTGTCAGAAAAGTCATGACGTATTTTTTCTATATTGTTTGTTGCAAAAATGTCATGAGTTTTCCGACAACCCAATAGAACTAGGTATTGACCTCTAGCTTGGCCTCTTTACACAGGCTTCTTCCCAATGACTCTACCTGGTACACAACAGGCACTCAAGAAATGTAGAAAAAATTAACTTCAAAGACCAAATTCTAACAAGACTTCAGAACTAAAATAGTTTGTAAATGGTCTTTCTTAATATGTATTTCATAAACAGGTGGTTTTAGATATATTTTATAATAATCAAAAAGCTGCTGCTAAATGCTCTTGTGTGTATAAACATGTCATTAAATCAAAACACAAAATCTCAAGTCTAAAAGTTTATTGCCAGAATAGCAAACTTCATAGACACCTTTTTAAAGTGTATTTAAAATGACAAGCAAAATAAACAGAAATTTGACCAAAGAAAAGCAAAGATCGCTATTATGCACATACAGTGAAATTAATACCAAACCAAACAGATACATTAGAGTATATGGGTCATACAATCCACATTCTAAAACTAAAGGAGATTCATTCCAAAATGCTTAGGTTTGGGTGGATTTTGGGGGGATGGAGGCTGGAGGGGTAATTTTCTCCTAATGCAGAAAATGGAAATACTTAGATGAGAAACAGAATGATGACTAAAATAACAATGATCAATTTAATTTTTATCCCCCAGAACAGAAATCTGTATTATAGGCCAATAAATTCAAGAAGAATGGATCAAAAATCTAAACACAGAAGAGAAGAAACACATTCTAAATTCAATTTGTTCTATCCTTACAACTGATTACCACTTCATATACACTACATCCAGTGTATTACATTAGTTAAAATGAGCTAAGAAAAAGCCAGAACAGCCTTTACTATTTGGTTTCAACCATGGCTATGTTTGCTTAAGCATAGAAAATTCTATCACTGTATTGCAAGCATTAGATTTTCTTTATTATTTAATAAAGTGAAAATTCATGTAAATAAAGGTATAGCAACCATTTCCAATTGACTACTAGTGCCCAATAGAGCTACTGCTAAAGGAGTAGGAGTAAGAGTAGGAAGAATTCCCTGTTGCATCAAAGCTTCCCCTCCGTGACCCACTGCGGGACCCACTGCGGGACCCAGAGCGGGAGCCTGAGCGGGAGCCAGGGGCAGAAGACATATTATAAGGGCTAGGCAAGCCCTTGGATGAAACAGAGGCAGCCTCCAGGAGGCGTAGGCCGGTGATATCTTCCACCATGGAGCGATTCATAGCATCCTTATAGGATATTTTTAATTTGGTTTTGGGGCAGGTCAGGATTTTGGCATAGCTGCTGGTGTCTTGCAGCCTCTGAGCTGCTCGGCCGTCAATAAACCCCTTTCTGATGGCTTCTTCTGTGCTTATCCTTCCATGCACTTCCGGGTCAACTAGGCCTCCAGTGAGGTACTGGAACTCCAGGAAGCGCTGACCTGCCTCATAGGGAAGCCATTTTTCTTTCACTGCCTCTGCTGCTGACATCTTCTTTCCCTTCACACCTTCAAAGCCAATGAAGGCTTTCTGAGAAGGCTTCAGCCTGGTGGCCATGTCTTGGTCAATCAGGCCCTGGGAGGCCGCATCCTGAAGGGACAGCTTCTGACCGGTTGTTGGATGGATGATGCCGCCTGTGCAGGCCTGAGCCTCCAGAAGCCTCTGGCCAGTGATGCTATCCACAATGCCCCGCTCTATACCTTCTGCAATGGAGATCTTCTCCAGGTTTTCTGTGTCAAAGATGGCTGCAATAGGGCTCAGTTCTTCCAGGGATTCAGACAGAGAGCTGCTCTTGATGGTTAAATTCCTGACACTGGATATGGTAGAAATCTTACTTACTGACTCATGTCGGGAGTTGCTGAAAACATCATCACTGACATTCCCACTGATGCCACTGCTGTTGCCAACACCATTTTTCAAGGAGATCATATCAGCAAACTGAGTGAGGCTGAGGGTGCCAGAACGGTACTGGTCAAAGAACTTCCTGTCA